ACGGGCGCTTGAGGGAACCGGTTCGTGCTGATTAGAAGTACCAAGGCGGGTCATAGCACTGCCCAAGCAGGATTTATCAAGCAATCATCTAGAATCCACCAGAATGACTACTAGGCTAACTTAATCATTAGGAGGTTTGGTAGATTTGCTTAATTTGAGTTGACCCAATTGGCGCGAAGTGGGGCATTTGTAGCTCAAGTGGTTAGAGCATTGGCTTCCGGTAAAGGCCTTCTCCACTATGCGGGTTCAAAGCCCGCCGAACGCCTCGAGTTTTTTTTCACAATTGTGTCAATTCAAACTGCATATTTGTCAGAGAATCTTCCAAAAAAATGAGAAAAGCGGCTTCGTCTTATTGCTTCTTTTTGGCGACGATGACATATGAGGATATGACGCTGTAAAAAACATGGAAATCTCTCGTCAAATAGAGGTTAAGGGAGCACTTGAAGGAGGACAGAATGAGTCAATTGGCTTTCTTCATGAAGCTTTAATTCAATATGTGGAAAACAGGGTTAACCTTGTGGAATTCAATTGTTGCCGGATTCTTGTAGAGGATGGATTGGTTCAGTTTTGAGCTGAGCGTCATGTTAATATCGCTTTCCCAGGCACTGTGCATCTCTGCCTCGTACTCGCGTAGGGAGTGCGCCAGTTTGATGTAACGCTGCCTGACCTGGAGATAAAACAAGAACACTGTAGGGGAAATGCAAAAGGTTTAAATTTCAGTTGCGGTCTCTACTCTTAAAACGAAAACTGAAAACAACTTTGTTCTGCATAGTCTGCAAGGGTGAGTAGATATCTCTGGACGTTTTGGATATGCGTATGTTACAGCAGCATAAGAACGTAAGGGAGGCTTCGATCACCGATTAGCGGGAGGCAGAGGGGTCTGGGTTCGGGCAGAAGCTTAGCAATACTCGCATGACGAAAAAGATCTGAGTCTATCAGTGGATAAAAAGATATCTCAATTTCAGCAGCATGGAATGTTTGTTCGATGTGAGATGAGCAACATCGGTAAGTCTTACTGCCTTAGGTCTGATTTCTCGGACCTTGAGAAGTGAGTTCCGTTAGCTGTCGGTCAACATTCATCAACAAGTCTCAATATCTGCCGACGTAAACTGGCAAGACAATGAGCTCGTGATTCAATGGTTAGAGCGTCAGAGTCTGATTGAAAAGTTCGCGGCTTCGAGCCTTGGGTGGTGCACCACTTGCGGTTGAGTATGGCTGACTGATGACGGCTAATGAGTCAGAAATGGCCGTTCCGGTCTCCCGTCTGTCTTTGTCGGCAATGCTATCTGCTCTGATCGAAAAGGTCGTGAGTTCAAGCCTCGGGTGGTGCACAAATTGGAGTTAGGTATGACTAGCTGACGACGGCTAAAAAGCCAGAAATAGCCATTCCAGTCTCCCCTTTCTCTACCGGTAATGCTATTTTTGTCTGTACCGGCAAGAAAAAGAGCTCGTAAAGACTCAATGGTCAGAGCGTTAGACTCTGATGGATGAGTTCGAGCCTTGGGTGGTGCACCAATTGGGGCTGGGTATGACTGGATGACGACAGATAATAAGCCAGAAATGACCATTCCAGTTTCCTTGGCCCTTGCCGACAATAATATCTGCCTAGACTACTAGCCACTGTGCGGCTGCTGTCATGGCCCGAGAAATGAGACCCAAGGCAGAGTGGGGCAAGTGAATTGCGTTAGATGTCGGTGAACATTCATCCACGAGTACAGACACAGGTTACCTAAAATAAGTATCTAGTCAAGTCGGATTTTAATTTTGTTCAATTTGTTAGACCTAGGCAATTTTAAGCCATTTCACTTTCTAAGCTTATTTTTTAATCTTTATTCGACAACTATTCACCACGGCTAGTATGTACATTTTCTTTCAATGAATAATAACAGTTTGGTCTTCCACAAGAAGAGTCCTTCAAATGCACAACCAATAAATATCAGTGGAAAAATACTACCTCCCGTTGGTTTGTAACATGGCAGTTGAGCGCAATATCATACTGTCCCCGAAATAA